TCTAGCAGAAACTAAAAGCTATCATCTGAATAAGGATTCTACCTCATTGTCCCTGATATTATGGTGTCCACTTGTCACTTCTACAGTGACCTTTCTGTATAAATCATGGGTGCTAATGATACAATAAGCATTGAAAATTATGATTAATAAAATTAAGAAAGAGAATATGCAATGTGCTTTTTACATAATCAATAAATTTTGGAAAAGAAATGTGATTGCCTGTAACAGGAGAGGATTGAATCCAGGACTTCTTTCCAGGCTACTAGCTTACAGTATGAAGGGATAATATTGTACTACAGCTTGATTTTTATTTGGTTTATCTAAACTAAATTGGAATAATCTATTCTGCTATGAAATTAGTATGAGCAGTGTTAAACTGCTGCAATATTCATTTTGTTTTCTTAAGATGTTAAAGAATGCTCCTAATACCAAAATTAAGCTTCCACGACTATCTTGACATGCTTTTATTATTTATAATATTTTAATACTTATTTATAATATTTAATACTTTGTAGAATGAATAAGAGTATTTCTTTTTTTTTTCTTGTTCTGATATGTTTACTTTGAACAACACTTACTAAATAATGTTACCATTTAAGGATAGCCAGTTAGTTTTCCTCTGATGCTGCTGAATGAGAAGATGGTAAAAGCAAATGAAAGGAAATAGCCTTTAAAAAAATAAAAACAATGTAATTATAATACCATAAAAAGAGGCAGGGAAATAACATGCTATGCCATCAAAAATAATAATTTAATCTGATACTCATTATTACAGAAAACAGCAATTCCCTGAATTCTTGTTTCAACTACAATATACCTTTTAGAAAAACACCAGACCTAGTGATGCAGAATGCACCATAATCTTTCAGTTGTCCAGTCACTGAATTCCTCCATTATAAATTCACGTTTATCTGAGTGAATCCTCTGACTGTGAGGCTATCTGTATAGTTTTGGAACCATCCACGTACTTAAGTTTTGAAAGAATGTGGCCTTGTTTAATACTGTTTGTACGAGGATCAGTGAATGACTGTGTGCTAGGGTAACCTCAAGCAGTTCAGGCCCCTCTGAGGGCTTAGGTGGAGTTTAGAGGGGGAGTTGTGAATACTGTGAATTGTAGTGAAGTTTAGACTGGAGTTGGGATAAATTTGGGAATGCATAGGAGGCAAAGTTTTCAGGCACTTTGTGATTGAAGTATAAGCATCAAATGAATTTTAGGCTCTAATGAGCTTTGTCATCAGTGGATGGGGAATATCTAAATTAATGGTTTGAATATATGCAACCACCTTTTCCCTAAATCACAGTTGAATAAAGTACTGTGCCTCTCTAGGCCTTATTTGTGTCTCTGTATCAAATATATTTTATTAGTTACAGATTTTATATGCTTACATAAATACAGCCAGTTATGGTTTATATAGATGTGTGCATGACCATACAAGTACAAAGAGACATATATATGTATATAGGGAAAGGGGTGGTTTATGCATAACAAGTATAATCATATGGTCACTTACACCAAAGTCACAATTAGTGTTTATTTCTGTAATCAGTTCTCTTTTCTTCTGCCAAAGTGAAGTCAAATATAGAACTTCTCCTTTTTGAATTAAGAAGTTACTTTGTAAATTCAGAAGACCCATTATTACTTGCAGCAAGACACCTTCAGTACGTGACACTTAGAAACAAGTTTATTCATTTAACTTAGAGTATTTGGCTAAGTTTACAATTGATTTTATTCCTTATTAACTATTTGTGATTTAAAATACAAAAATTGAAATATAAAGCTTTAATACTGGTAGAGCTAAGAGCTGAGAGATGGAAGATCTCCTGTAGTAAACAAGCACTACAAATGGGTTTTGCAGGCACTTTAACCAAGCCAAAAAACAACTGAGCTTGAATCAGTAAAATGGCTAAGGTACTGAAATTCCATACCATAGCAATACCATCATGAGTTTTTGGATCTATGCTGGCTCACAGCTCATCAGCTAAGGGCACAGCGTAGCAAGTATGTGCTTGCTCACTTGTGGGTTAGATCCGTAGTGACAGAACCAAGATAAGAGTTATGTTTTT